GAAAGTGGAGCTGAAATTTCACTGAAGTTTCGAAAGGCCAGATTAGAGTGTGTCAGGAGTTATTGTTCTATCCTAATGTTAACATGAATTCTGAAAGCCTTGTAAAGAAAGAAGGGTCAACCTGTTGACCAGCATAGATTAACTAATACAGTCCTTTCTCAACACATTTTCGATAGATTTCTGAAATACCACCTAGGAAACTGTCTTCACTGGTGATGTTGAAAAAGCATGCCATTTGATTTTTTAGAGAAATTAGTTAAGTAAATCTACTGAATTAGTGCTGCACAACTTCATGTTTTATTGGAGAGACTGGAAAGAAAATAAATGTACCATGAGTGGAGAGAACTGGAAAAGCTGGTAGAGAATGTGAGGTGAGAATGAGGGAAAACAGTTTACCTGTGTAAGGAGCTATGTTTGCTTTGTGGAAAAGGTTGATGAAGACGGAAGGCAATGTTGTCTCAGGAGAGGAGTTAAACTTTTAACAGATTGTACGGTCTTGATGTATGCAGAAAGCAAAAGTTCTTTCTGTTGTTGTGACTGTTCGTTGCTATGGTAATAAAAAGGGTTGACCAGTAAGTTGAAGCTCAGTAGGTTTAATATCTACCTTTTGATTAAGCTGTATATTGTAAAATGGTTTCAGAACAGCAGAGTTTGTTAATAGTTGTCAATTCTGTGTGTATTTTGATTGTCTTTAGCCATATTTTCAGACACCTATGAACGTGATGACCTTTTTTCCTAGTGTTTCTTTTACTTTTGTTTCCAGATTTTTTTTCTGTTCAGATGTACAAATTTTCCTCGTAGCATGAAGGATGTTTCAGTTTGAACTACTTTGAAAAGATTCTTTTTGTGAAGTTTGTCTTTTTTAAAATGTGCAAACACTGTGTAAGACTGAAATACAAACAAGTCTTTCATGAGTGGCTCTGAGGGCCTGTCTATAGTTGTACGTAGTACGGACTCACTCCAAGAGTTCCATGTCCTCCTTATGTCGGCGGCCCCAGAGCTGGACGCAGTACTGGAGTTAACATGAGAGTGGATTAGAGGGGGAGAATCCCCTCCCTTGCCCTGCTGGTCACGCTTTTTTTGACTTTCTGGGCTGCAAGTGTACATTGCCTGCTCATGTTGAGCTTCTCATCCATCAACACCTCCAAGTCCTTCTCCTTAAGACTGCTCTTAATCCATTCTCCACCCAGCCTGCATTTGTGCCTGGGATTGCCCTGAACCAGTGCAGGACCTTGTACTTGGCCTGGCTGAACTTTATGAGGTTTAGACAGGCCCACTTCTCAAGCTCGTTGAGGACCCTCTGGATGACATCCCTGCCCTCTGGCACGTTGACAGCACCACACAGCTTGGTGTCCTAGGCAAACTTGCTGAGGGTTATTCTCAGGATTGTTGTTATTGTTGGTTTAGCCATCCATATTTACTCAATATTTCTTATAGAGATTTTCTTCTGTGTGCGTACATATATACACACACACACACATGCACACACTTTGTCTGGCTTTCTTGTAACTGCTCTACTGCTCTAGTGTTGGGGATCAATTAATCTTGAATATAGAGCAGTCTACAAACAGTTCTCTAATAGATCACCTCACAATGCTTTCAGTGAGTGATAGTTCCACATTCTAGTTACTTTATAGGCACCTATGTTAAAGTACTTTGACAAATTGTGGCATGATTTTAACACTTTGTATTAAAATAATCTCCAAATAATTAGACCATGGATGTGAGATGTGTTTGATTCAGCTGGACTGTATTCACTTCTTGGGTTAGAAAGTCCAGTGTCTTATAAGGCAGACCTAGATAAAGTTAACATGCAAAAGGAGGGAACTGTGCGGGGATTTTTATACTCACTTAAGAAAACCAAATAATTTTGCAAGGCAATATTCCTAAATTTCGTGATCCAAGAAAATGCTGAGAAGCAGCAATTAAAAAGTTGTTATTATCAGATGCTTAATTTCTAATAAGCTTTGTTTTCTATTTTGGATTACCTGGAGGATGTTCTGTGTCTGTGAAGACTTGGAGGGCAAAAAGTGGTTCTGAATTTTGCCCATAACAAGCTTTTAAAATACAAAAATATTTGTAGCATGATCTACACATGTATTACACAAGCAGATGTGGAGTTTTAAGTTTGCTGTATATAATCTCTATTTGACTTTATATAATCTCCATTCAGAAAAATTAAAGTGTTAGATTGGTGAAATTCATCCTGGGTTTATTACACAGAAGAGGGTGAACCATGTTCCCATTTAATCAAACGTTTCAGAACATAGTATTTGTATTCTATTCAATCTTTGGAAATCCAATTCTTTTTTCTTTGAGAAGGCAGACGCCATTACATTTTGTTGTTTTAATTTCCACATACTTCGTCTTCCGCTTAATATATCAGCTGAGTCTTAAGTCTGTTTTACCCCACTTCTGTAGTCTGTTTTATGGCAGAAACTGATTGTAGCTGTCCTAATCAAACCGGACCAGGTTATCGTGATGCAGGCCTCCCAACAAAGTTGCCATTTTAGGGATGATCAAGTAGCATAATAGAAATATTTCTTTAGCCGCAAAGCCTAAGTAACTATTTAAACCTTTAAAGTGAAGTTACTAAATCTCCATCAGTAATCAGTTTGTGTATATATCCGATACTTACGGATTTTTTTTTTGCTTGCTTGAACTGAGCATTACTAAACTCAGGCTTTCTAGGAAGATATTTCAGATGTTTCCACAAGTCAGTCAGAAAGCTTAATCATATAATGAGTAAAGGTGAAACAAGTCAGCTCCTTTGGAAACAATGTTAATTCCATTTACTTTCATTAGAAAACGCTACAGAGATTTATAATCCCAAAGTATCAGGAATATATTGTGCTGGCATTTGAAATCTATGTGCTCTCCTCCATAACTCCCTTGCATTTTGGTACGCAGCTAGCCTGAACTTTTAACAATCCTGATTCTGTTTTCTTCATTCCCCCCACAAAACCCCATGTGAACATCTGTATCAAGCCTTTTCTCCACCTGTCAGCTAAGACATTTCGAAGCACTAAATCCAGGACTGATACCTGACAACTATCATTTTTTATACACAGATTTAGTGGCACAGAAGTGTAATTCCAACCTATTCTTTTCTTCCACTTATTTTCCTGAAGATCAATAACTTTTCCACCTGCTACACATATACATATTGACAGTAACTACATTCAGTAGACCATTTGTTGCATAATTCAAGTCCAGGACTTCAAAGAGATTTCAGACATGTACATAAAACATTCAACACTACTCCAAAGTTGTTTTTTGCTTTTCTGATATGTGAAGGTGTGGGTATTTTCCACTGTTGTATTATGACATAAGGAATACTGACAGAAAAAGTATACTGAACTAGGTATTATTATTTCACTGAGTTAGGGGCAAATGTTATTTTCTTACCACTTAAAAATTACATGAACATTTTTTTGGTATAAAAGTAAATTTAAAATTGGAAAAATAGATGGGATAATTGCAAAGAACCTCTTTCATGCATTCGTCATTACAGATCAACAAGAAGACCTAAGCACGTTCTCACTAAAGCCAACAGAAGCTCAAATCAGTAATTTCAACAACTGCTATTTGAAATCTATTGTCACTCAAGATTAAATTTGCAGGTGTTTTCCTTCTCATAAGAAATCAGATTTTCCAGATGTTACAATACGTGTGTTCCAAAGAACAACTATACAGTTGAAGCCTTTCATACTTTATCTCCACTACTGCTGCTGAGAAACCTTTAGGTGTTGGAAAAATTCAGTGCCCCGGCCTACTTGTTGCCAGCAATAAAGCAGCAGAATGGTCCTTCATTAGGAAACCATGATCTTGCCCACCAAGCTGCAGGAGGGTAGTTTATATCTGAACCCTTTCCTAAGTTACAACAGCTTCTACCACTGCCCTTTGCCCTCCGCAGTCGCTGACAGCCTTGGAACTTCCTTTCATGACCTATCTCGCTGTAAACCACACTGCACTGCAGACCCTAGTGTCCTTGTTACGAGGAAAAAAAAAAGTGGTAATGACTTTCTAACTTAAGAATATCAGCTGAAATAAACTGTCTTCAACAGTGGAGTATTTAATTCACAAGCATTTTCATGGGCAAAGGTAGAAAATAATGAATAACTTCCTACCTTGGTAAGTTAAAATGCACACTTACATAGATGGAATAATAATTTTCTTTGCTGTACCTGCGTAGACAGACAACCTACCAAAATACATTGACAAAAGAATGGTTCGTTTGAGAAAAGAACCTGCAGAAACTGTTATAATTCAAATTCCCTTCTCTAAAGAAGAAATTTATTATATTTGAGTTGATTACAGACTTACTTAGTATTTGCTTATTCAATCCAAATGTTTGTACAGTAAGCAGTAACTGACCTAAAATTATTCCAAGAAAACCTCATTCAAACTTACAACAAGGCGTTAAGCACTGCTGACCTTTTCACTGCCACCGTGTTTTGGAACCTGCTTTTAAGAAAGCAAACTTGTAGATACACACATATAACACCCTACGTTTTATACAGCATGGGACTGACTTCCTCCTATTTAACATTCTGAAAGCTTTTCTATTTTTAAAATATTTACTGTCTTCTGGAGACTTCACATTTTAAATTAAATATTCTTATGCCAATGTTTGTACTGAAAACTAGGAAATCTACTGTTACAGGGCTTTATCTAAGTATCTCAATGACTCATTTCATCAGACGGACTCTTCTCGGTGACAAACAATGATAGGACAAGGGGTAACGGACACAAACTGGAACACAGGAGGTTCCACTTCAATTGGAGAAGAAACTTCTTCTCAGTGAGGGTGACAGAGCACTGGCCCAGGCTGCCCAGAGAGGTTGTGGAGTCTCCTTCTCTGCAGACATTCAAAACCCGCCTGGACGCCTTCCTGTGTAACCTCATCTGGGTGTTCCTGCTCCGGCAGGGGGATTGGACTGGATGAGCTTTTGAGGTCCCTTCCAATCCCTAACGGTCTGGGATTCTGTGATTCTGTGAAAGCAAACAAGATTTTAATTTAGTCTTCATTATTGAGACCACAGATTTTTCACAAGTGACATTTTACTGTATTTCATACAAACTGAAAAGTACAGTAAGTACAAAAATAAAAAGCAGGAAAATTGTCAGACATTGCAAAGTCTTTGTAATATATTTAAAAATACCTATGGCACATCACTCCTTTTTGATTCAAGAGGCTGATTCTTGATGATTAAATTTTTCATAAAATTCCAAGTCTTTTATGTTCAAGGATGGTTTTACATTCCTCAATGATTTGACAAAATGCTCGTGTTTTACAGCAGTTGCTTCAAGTCCATTCTCTTGCAATGCCAACAAAGCAGCCTTTAAAAGAAAAAGAAGAAAACCAACAACTTAAAGTGCTTATAATGTTTTAAGTTTCAAATAAGTTATTGTAAGTATTCTGAAATATTTTACGTTAAACCAAATTTTTGGTAAAGCATCTGAAAATGACATTGTATGATTTCTGGTTATCAAGCAATAGATAAACATCAAATAAGATTAATATAACTTCTTCCTTCATTCTGTTGTCTGGATTAGACAATATATCCCTGATTATGTATCTATGTGGATTTTCTTCCTAGTCTTCTATCTTTTACATGACTTCTCAAATATGAATCTCTCTTCTCAAATTTTTTTTCTTTCTAGCCTTGACAGGACATGCTAATTTCAGGTAAAAATGCTCCGTTTGCTTGCAGTATACAGAATACAATTCATCTACATGGGAGCTTGGTTTAGAAAGGGCCATGTGAAACAAAGGGTAGTACAGTTCCCTGACTTCTAGTAAATTATCACAGAAGCTGTTATTCTTATTTGGCTATTTTATTTAAAGAATTAACCCTTGTTCAGTTTGTCAGTTTTACTAATTATCTTTATATTTTCACTACAAACTGTGAAAGAATCTGTACTACAGATGGCCTGGTAATACCTGTAAATTAGCTCTCTTTTCCTTGAAAGGTTTAATTTACAGTTTATTTCAGAGATTAACCATGAATATTTCTTACCTCCTTACACAGATTCTCAATATCAGCTCCAGAGAAGAAGTCTGTTAGGCCTGCCACTTCTTGTAATGACACATCAGTATCTAATGGAATTTTTTCTGTGCAGATTTTCAAAACGGAAAGCCTTCCCTGTAAGTTGGTGCATATTATGGAAAAAACAAAGCCAAACAAACCAATAATTAATCCCTCTGCAAAGTAATAGGAAATCTGAAATTAGTTCAAAACTAAGGAAAATCCAGAAGAGCACCAAAACGACATGTTCTTAGTGAAAGAGCGAATAAAGTGCTATTAATGGAGATAACCACAAGAGTAAGTATTAGCTCATACATTAAACTCCGTTATTCACAGTTACTTATTACTTCATGAAAACATGGTATTTTAGACTGATGAGTCCGTATTTGGCCTGCTTTGGGTCAATTTTTTTTTTGGAAAGCTCAGGACAAGCTACACTACCCTTTGGAAAAGGGCACAAGAATGACTTGAAGCAAGGACAGACAACTTGTTATCATACTTCCTAAACTGCAGCTTGATTTCGTAAATACAGAACTATTCCCAATTTTACCTATTTTCTATATGCAATAGTATAACTATATATAGCACTTAAAATGTTACTGGTATTTAAATTACAAATAGAATTATTCCTTTTTAAACTTCTGCACTGTACCTTGAATTTGGTGACTATCTTCAGTGAATCATCTTTAAATTATTATATATATTACAGGAATATGCCCCCTTTGCTCGTAAAGTCAAGTATGCTAGCAATTAATATCTCTCAATTTAAAGCCACATATGGATTTGTAATACATCACCTTCAGATCTGGTGGTGGAACATAGATCATCTTGTCTAGCCTTCCAGGACGCAATAAGGCATCATCCAACATATCTGGTCTATTTGTTGCAGCAACTACCATGAAATCTTTGTTCAAAGCTTCCTGAAACTCAAGCTGAGTAAGAGATAATATAAACAAATCAGTGCAACATTGTTAAGACAGTTAGTTTTGTAACAAGTGATCAGCATTTATCATCTTCCTACATGGAAAAGGGAACATAAATACCTTTCTTTCCTCATCAATTTGATCTTGACATTGACCCTCAAGCTGTAGTTTGCTACCTCTTCTTTCTGTGACTTTCAGCCCAATACCATCCAACTCATTGAGAAGAACAGAAAGAACCCGCTCTGAGACACCATGGCCAGTTTTACAGTGTGACCGAGATCCCAAGATAGAATCAATCTCATCTAGGAATATGATTGCTGGAGTATTTGCTCTTGCTTGGCGAAAAACCTGGGTTTTTTTCAATTAAAAAAGTACAATGTTAATACATACATTCTATCAGGTAAGGTGAAAACACTTATTCACATATACTCTGTATTTTACTTAACTTTAAAGATACATTCATAAAGATTTATGAGAGCCATCCCAGCTTGCATTTACTATAGGCAAATTCTGCTTCTTACTTAAATTCTTAAGTGAACTGAAAACAAAAGGGTAGAAATACTTCCAGAGTTTAAAACTAGCATCATTTTAGGGCTAGATTTTCAGTTTATATAAATGCAAATCTGCAAGACATTTTAACTTAATTATCAGATGAGAGCTTTAACTATCACCTTTTCAATAACAAAATTTAGGCCTAACTAATACTTTACAAAAATCAAGCAAAAATAAACTATAGACCTTACATAAATCAAAAACTGTACCTGAGACAAAATCTTCTCCGAGTCTCCAACATAAGGCGAGAAAAGGTCAGCACCACTTACAGAGAGAAAGGAACAGTGACAACTCGTGGCCACAGCCTTCACCAGTGTGGTTTTGGCACACCCTGATGGCCCATAGAGAAGAATGCCCTTTGGGTGAGACAGGCCCATCCTAGCAAACGCCTGAGGAAATTTCATGGGCCACTCAATACTCTGTCAATACAGAAATAAAGGGATTAAATTCTTAGCAATGGAACTAGAGTTCATAGGCAATCAGTAACATTGCTGAGCACTTTATTTTCTCTCCCTGATACAAACATTAATTTGAAATCGGAGAATATTAATTTGGTCTTCCTTCATATAATGCCCCCCTTCTTAAAGTTTCCTCTCAGTCTCAAACAGAACAAAAGGCAATCCCTGTGAGATGATATGCAAGAGCCATCCCTGGCTACAGATTCAGGACAAATTATTGGGCTGCAAATTAAGTATTTTTCAGCTACTGGAAAACATGCTAATTTTCCCATGATATTACACTTGGTGGTGATACCTTGTGACTGGAAGATTTCTAACTCACAATCATTGTAATAACACAATGTTGTCTAAAAATGTTTAAAATACAATTGATAATCAGGTAGTTTGCAAGAGAATTAATTTCTATAATACAGCATACAAAATACCTCAGGGAGTATGGTTATTAAAACTGTTTTATCTAAATGTATTTTATCCATTACCTGTTTTAACTTTAATTTCACAGCTTCGAGACCACCAATTTGCTCCCAGGTGACAGGTTTATACTCTGTGAGTCCAATTGCACCTCGAAAAGAGGATGGCTGAATTTTTTTAAAAGCTTCTTGGAAATCTGCGATGTTAATCACTGTTTCAGTTGAATCCTGGAGAAGCCCAGACAAGGCATATTAATGATATTTTTATGGAATAGCTTATAATGCTGCATTAGTATGCAAAACATTTCACAAAAGGCAATGTGCAACTAGTAAAAAAGCAATTTCCCGCCCTAACAAGCTAAAGCACTGCAGACACAAAGACGTAACATGGAAGTAGAATATGATCTCTTTAATGGCAAGTTTTTAAAGAGAAAAAAAACTATTTAAACAGAAATTAATGTTTTAGAGAATACTATCGTTTTTCCCTAAATTATAGCTCCATTACACAGTGATCTGCTAAATCAAACAGTTGCTAGTTTCAGCATTACTATACACCAATTCCTAGAATACGAATAAAAATATTCTACCATCCATTTTCACCACATACACGGGAAAGTAAGGTACTTTATCTCAAATAGGCTAGAAAATACCATTATTAAACTACAGATGCACTAAGAGAATGAAGGTGTATTTTGCAAAAGAGCTTGCAGTTCTCAAGGGAGACAGACAATCTACTTATTCATTATTTTCGTTTGGCCATCTATTTCTTTCTGGGATACCAGGCTAAAAATATTTTGTTTATTATTTTCAATATTTGCAAAATATCTGGAGGAGATGGAAGTTGTAGAAACACGATGTTCTCTTCTTTCTATCCCCAGGTGAAGACAGAGGGTTCTACCGTTCTGTGTAGAAACACCAACTCTGGAAATGTTGCAGATCTGGCTTAAAATTCTGCTTAGCCAGTCCAGATGACAAACCACAGCAAACACATACCTCATAATTCTTCTAAAAGTTAGAATATATAGAAAAAATACTAAGAAATAGCAATTCTCTAATTCCATACCTATAATATGCAAGAAGTTCAATTTTTGCACACTGGGCAGTTTTATACCGTGTGTCTGTAACAGTGTTATACTCAGCCATACAACCCAAATAGTTATTATCACTACCACTCAAATATGTATGTGCCAACCTAAATTTTAATTTGCAGTTATTACTATGAATTAGAATTCTAAATCACCAATAGCTTCAAAAAGAGAACTTTGGTGGATATTATAGTTTAGTTTGCCAAAAAAGACTAAAAGCTCTGCTTTGCACGATCCTAAAAAGGATGAGGATAAAAACTTTAGGCAAAGCTTTTCATCCAGAAGGGAGAAATCAGTCTTCTCAGGTGAGAACTGAAAGGACTAACAAAATGGCATCTTTACATTTATAACACACTTTGTGTTTTTCAGTAATTTAATTTGCAAGTTCTTCAACTTGTTGAGCTTTTCAACTAAAGACAAGTATTAATGAGGAAAGGGCAGTACATATTATTAATGAGATTCTTCTAGACTAATTTGCAACCATACCAAAGAGCTGCGGCACAAAGCCTGCATAGCAGCTTCTCTGCAGAGTGCTGTGAGGTCAGCTCCAACATACCCAGTTGTCATTTCTGCCAGTTTAACCAAATCAACGTCTGTAGAAATTGGCATACTAGCTGTAAGCAACTGCAGGATAGATCTTCTTTGCTTAAGTGTTGGTGTCCCAATAATCACCTAAACCAAATATAATAAAAATTTTAAACACATATTTTGCTATATTCATCTTATTTTATAGACCTAGGCAAGCAAGTTTGTTTCTGCTTTATACTGCTTATTGAAGAGTGATACATACTTATACTGCAACTAAAGAATTTTACAAGAAACTTAATAGCAGCACTATACAAATGATAAATATTTAAAAGTGTCATTCATTTACACTTACTTTCCAAGTGAACAGTGTTTGTATAAACAGTTGTTCATAAGACACTGTCAGCTAGTGTCCATCAAGTCCTACTTTAAGGTAATTTCAACTGTTATGGTTTAAGGGTTACCAGCCTGAAAGGGAAGGACAGGTGGTGTCTGTAGGACCCTGGGGGGTCAGAGATCAGTTCTGTTCCCTCCCCTTTCTGGCCAGAGTCTATAAAAAACCGAGGAGGCCCGAGGTTTTCACGGGTTTTTCCTGCCTTCCTGGGCTGTTTTCCTGTCGCATCTCGGGACGGCTGGGCCTGGCTCCACGTGCTCGGCAGCATCCACCACCACCCGCTCCTGGCACCACTGCAATCCCTGGTGACAGTCACAGCGGTCACTGCTCGGACACTTTCACTCGGGACTACTGGGATCTGGTTTTGTATATAGTTAAATATCCTTTGTTCCTTATTAATTCCCTTTTCCTTTCCCCTGTTGTTTTTCATTAAACTCGTTATAGTCTTAACTTCCAACCTTGTGTGAAGCACATTTTTTCTCTATTGCCTTTTTTTTAATCCTCCCCTGGGAGGGTAGGGGACAGTAGAGAGAAAATCCTGCTCCCTGGGCTTGTCCTGAGCCTTAAATGAAGACATCAACATGAGGCGCAACACTGAAATAATAGTTTATTTCATCACAAGGACCGAATTAGATTAATCCAAAAGAAAAAGTAAATTAGATAAACATTAATACATTATTAAAAAAACTGATAAAATACTGCCATAAAACCTATCTCAATAATCTCTGCATCCTGGAAAAAAATGTAATTGTGAAAGCATCAAAGAACTTGATCAAACTGGATGACCCAGGAGTGAATTCAGACAGCAAATAAACAATACAGGTGAAAGCACCACATGTGACAAAACTGAATGTGGTCCTTCTTCTTTTGACCATCTCCCCACTGGGGAATGACCTATTAGAGAGCAGCATA